GAAATCTCTAATTTCTCGGAAATCTTTCGGTACGACATTCCATCCTTCCGAAGCTGTTGCACTAATCGCCGTTGTTCTGGCGTGATATTTTTTCCTTTACTCATTGCAGCACTATTATAATACGTCTAACTGCAAACACTGCCCACTAAATACTGGTAAATATTGTTTACAATTGGCGTAGCTGTGCGAAACAAAAGCGTACGTAAGTAATTGTCCGCTGCAAAACCGACAGAACAAAAGAAAACATTTACAAAGTACTCATTTTTTTTAAATAAGCCAAAGCTCTACTGTAAATATGAACATCAGGGTTCAAGATTCTTAGAAATTAATTGTTCATACCACTATCTGAGCTTTGTAGAAATATATCAGATTTTAAAGTTAATATATGAGGTGTGCGTAAGTATATGACCGCCACTGTATATCCTGATTCCAAGATACTCCTTTTATTACCAATTTGCATGGGACTTATTTCTGTAAGTATAATAAAAATTATGAGATTCCTTGGAAATGAGGAGTGGCGTTATTACCCAGAAAAATATTTTTATTTTCTTTGATGACTCGTGAGCAAAATAGTCAATTTTTTATATTGAATGATACTTTCGAGAATGCTCACTTCACACGCTGAATTCACGGCGAATGAATATTTGAAAATAATGGATAGTGAATAATGTTAAAGTACAATGTAACACTTATATTTAATAATACAACTACAAAAATTTCAGAGTACAAGTTAATGAATTCTATCGGACGGCACGTAGAGGATGATTTTTATGTTGTTCGTATGCTAGTATGTTTTGATCTTATCTTTCTCGCAAAATTTTCTATCGACGTTAACTTTTTCTTATAGTGGGGGCTTTTTCTAACGACGTTTCTGATTGGTTATTCGAGATTTTCTCTATTTTGGGGAAATGGCATACATTTGGCGGGGACTACCGTTAGACTCAGGTAGGTTCTCTGGAGCTTCGATGTTTAGGGCGGTTAAGATTGTAAATTTTTTAAACTTTCCTAAGTGTGTAAAACCGGTGACCTTTTTTATGGCATCTATAGGGGTAATTATGTATATTACTGAACTTTTTGGCTTCATGATCTTCGGAGATTTCCTCGAAATATGTTTTTCAAATTGTCCT